CATTATCTTATTATTATTTACAGTTCTATAGAGTAGTCACTGGAATTCAGTGATTGAGTCAAATAATCAAACTGGATAGACACTCATTTACTGTCTCTTGACTAGTTGATTGAAAAAGTCACTCATTGTGTCTTGAGTCAGGTTTTCAAGGTCCCAGAAGGATGTGTTTGAATGCTTTCTGAAAATTGTTCATTACGAACAGCATTTTTTTCCTTCCTGAGCATCTTTTCTATTTTTGTGTTGGCTCCTTTTAACTGAATGCGTTCTAGCTGAAGGGCCAACTTAAATGTGGAGATGTTATTCATTCAAGTTCTTATTGCAGTAGTTTTTTTAATGTGTTGAGGTTTTCTGCCTCTATCATCCTTTCAGACAGTAATTTCCAGACTCTCACTACGCTCTGGGTGAAAGAATTACTCCCCAACTTCCCTCTAATCCTTCCATCAATTACTTCCATCAAATCTCTGCTCCTTGCTTACTGACCTCTCCACTCTGGGAAATAAGCCTGAAATAATCCCATCAGCTACTTCTGTCAATAGCCCACCTGGGCAAACTTCCATCAATGCTCTCCCCTGCCCTAGCCTCAAACTCCCACTGTTTTCAAGTTTCTCTCATAACTCCTCCAATTCCTTTTCTGAGCTTAGTTTGTCCATGAAACCCACCTCTTGTGGCACGCTTTTCTGTATGCTTGTCTTCTTTACTTGTGCTGATCTCACCACTTCATGTCATCACTTGGTTGGAAGCTGTGGGTCTTCCTCTTCTGATCTGCTGTCGAACACATCTGAGGATACACATCCCAAACTGATGCTGTCAGTTTGAAACCGTCCAAGGATGAAATATACTATTCCCATACTAGAAATCTCTGTCAAACATTTACCAGGGGAACTGTGACAGCAGTTGCAGTAAATGAGGTTTTATTCAGACAAGGTTAAATTGTCAAGGAAGGGTTGACTTCCAGAACTGATGGTCACTGTTTAATTGGTAAAATTAGATTGCATCATCAGCTGTCGGCTGTGAAAGAGCAGTATCTCTGGTTGCAACAATAGATCTGGTCATGCATTTTGTGCACAATCAAGATGACAATTTCTATGCATGATTCCCATTTTGGCAAGTGACCTGACTTTTGTTGAGTGTTTTCACTCTGACTGGCTCTCCCATTCTCACCTCTGGATCTATTAACAGTATTATCAAACTGAAATGTGGCTTTCTCTCATTTCAGTTTGATCTTGGCATTCATTGCTATTACTACGTCTGGCCTTGGTTGTTCTTCAGATACTGGAAGTGTAGGTTCACTATGGTGTGACATTAGTCAATAGACTGGACAACTTCCAATGACTCCACTGCCTGTGTTTCTCAGTTCCAAGATGGCCTTGTACACATCTGCACTGGATCTGAGTAATTTTATGATGATTCAACTGGCAAACAGCAGAAACAGACCACATAAGCAGTCGAGCCTGCTCCACCATTCTAAACAATCAATACAATCGTGACTAATCTTGGGTTTCAGCTTCAGTTTCCCGTTCACTCTCCAAATTGCTTGATGCCCTAAGAGACTAAAACCTGTCTATCTGATCCTTAACTGTATTCATAATACAGCATCCACAACCTTCTAAGGTAGAATATTCCAAAGGTTCACAACCCTTTGTGTGAAGTAATTTCTCCTCATCTCAGTCCAAAGTAATTAGTCCCTATGATCACAAGACAACCCGCTCATCCCAGGGACTAACTTAATAAACTTTTGATGCGCTACCTCCAGTGCAAATGTATCTTTTCTTAAATGATCAAAACTGCACACTTCCTACAGATGTGGTCTCAGCAAAACCCTGTACAACTGTAGCAGGATTTCTTTGTTCCTGTTCTATTCCCCTTGTAATAAAGACCAACTTGTTATTTACTTTCCTAATTGCTTGTTATACTTGTACATTGTGTTCTTTATTAGCGCAAACCCAATTCTCCTTGAATATCAACACTTACAAGATTGTCACCGTTTAAAAATATCTGTTTCTCTAATGTTGTGAACTAAATGAATAATTTCACAATTCCTCACATTAATTGTTCTAATTCATTCACGTCACTGGCTGGCCCAGCATTTGTTGCTCATCCTTAGCTGTCTTTGAAAAGATGACAGTGAGCTGACTGTTTGAACTGTTACAGTCCACATGCTGTTGGAGAACCCACAATGCTGTTAGGGAGGAAGTTCCAGGATTTTGACTGATATAGGCTTTATACTGCATCTGTCAACTTGTCCACACAGCTGAACTGTCTATATTTCTTTGCAGCCTCTTTGTGACCTCCTCACAGTTTGGTTAATATTTAAGGAACAAATACATGAATTGCAACAGTTATATATTCCTTTTGGGTGAAACAACACAACAGGATAAATTACCCCACCACGCCTAAAAAAAGAAATTTAGGATAGTAATAGATCCAAAGAGGAGTCATATAAAGCTGCTAGAAAAAAGTAGCAAGTCTAAGGACTGACAGCAGTTTAGATTCAGCAAAGGAAGACCAAGAGGTTGATTAAGTCGGGGAAAATAAGCATATAAAAAATAAAAAGATGAGCACAGATAAACATAGGCCATTTATAATTGGAAACAGGAGAATTGATAATGGAGAACTATGGAATGGCAGATCAACTAAACAACTGCTCTAGTTCTGTTTTCACAGAAGAACAAATGCTAGAGAAGCGAAGGGCTACTGGGAAGGAGGAACTGAAGGAAATTAGTATTAGTAAAAAAACGATTGTGAAGGAAAAATTAATGAACTGAAACATGATAAATCCCCAGTGCCTGATAATCTACATGCCAGGAAGTTAAAGAAGATGGCCATGGAAATAGTGCATGCATTGGTTGTCATCTTCCAAAGTTCTGTAGATTCTGGAACAGTCCCAGCAGATCGGAGAGTGGCAAATGTAACCTCATTGTTTCAAAAAAAAAAGAGGGAGGGAGAAAACCTGGAATTACAGACTGTCAGCCTAACACTGGCAGTAGAGAACATGCTGAAGTCTATCATAAGGATGTAATAACAGGATATCAGAACACTTGGACCCAACTCTATTCCACAAAGTCAATATGGATTTACGAAAGGGAAATCGCGTTTAACAATATAAACACAAGTGAACTTTTTTTGAGAAACCATCCAGTAGAACAGATGAGTGAGAACCGGTGGATGTGATGTATTTGGGTATTCTAAAAGCTTTTAAGTCCCACAAAAGAGGATAGTGTGCCAAAATCAAAGCAGATGAGATTGTTGGTAATATACTGGCATGGATTGAGGATTGATTAGCAGTTAGAAAATAGCTTGATTGAATGGATCATTTTTGGAGTAGAAGGCAGTGATGGACGGGGTAATGCAGGGATTAATGCTTGACCCCAACTATCCACAATAATATAATCAATTATATGGATGAGGGAATCAAATGAAATATTTCATAGCTTGCTGACAACATAAAACTAGGTGGGACTGTAAGTGTGAGAAGGATATAAAGAGGCTTCAGGGCAATTTAGAAAAATCGAGTGAGTGAATTAATGCTTTGGTTTGCAACATAACTTTGAAAAGTGTGAAGTTGTCTACTTCGGTAAGAAAAATGAAATGGCAGAGTATTATTTCAATGGGGATAGATTGGAAAATGTTGATATACAAAGGGATCTGGGCGTCCTACTGACACCAGTATCTGAAAGCAGCTTTCGCTCCCATCAAACACCTAGTGATGACATCACCAGTGCTGAGGGATTATGTCAACAATGGAGCCACCCTGCAGTGTGATGTCAGTGACACAGGACTTGGAGCAACGCCCATGCAGTGAGGGTAACCCGTTGTGTTTGTATCCAGAGCGTTAACATATACTGAATAACATTGTACACAGATTGAGAAAGCGAGCTGGATATTGTCTTTGCTGATTAAAAAGTTGCACCTGTATCTGTTTGGGAGAAAGAAAGTGATAATAGAGCCTGACTGCAAGCCAATTCAAAACATCTTTCTCAAACCACTTGCATTTGCTTGAAAGCAAAAACAGAAATTGCTGGAGAAACTCAGGAGGTTTGATTGCATTTGTGGAGAGAAAGCAGAATAACATTTTGAGTCACATTAGTGACAAGGTCTTTACACAGTCAGCATGTCTGCTGATTCTTCATTACACTCACAAAGGGGCGAACCAGGAGTGAACCCATTTGGGGGCTACCTTGCCTGATTCTTGCCAATCTGTCCCAGTGTGTAACAGTATACACACTCACGGTGCAGGGTGTTCAGTGGGACTGGGACACAAAACAAGAAGCAGCTTTCGCTCCCATCAAACACCTAGTGATGACATCACCAGTGCTGAGGGATTATGATGTCAACAATGGAGCCACCCTGCAGTGTGATGTCAGTGACACAGGACTTGGAGCAATCCCCATACAGTGAGGGTAACCCGTTGTGTTTGTATCCAGAGAGTTAACACAAACTGAGTCATGCTTAGTCTGGGATAATGTCTTTGGTTATGAGGATTTCAATCAGTACCTGTTTGGGAGAGAGAATGTGATGGTCAAGTCTGACCACAAGATCATTCACATCAACGTGAGTGCATTGATGGACCAGGAAGTACATTCACCACACAAATGATTTGTCATGCACCTCATATCCAAATGGTTTCTCTCTTCTGTGAATAGGCTGATATTTCAGGAGACTGGGAAAGTGGGTGAAAAACATAAACAGTGTACCTGAAGATAATCTTCCCTGTGTGATTTCTCTCGTGTCTCAGGAGAATTAGAATGGCCACAAAAGCTTTATCATAAGCCACACACATAAAGGGTTAACTCTCTGTGTGGTTCCTCTCTTGAGCAGGAGGTTCAATGATTGAATACTATGTTTCACACCCATCACACTGGAACAGTTCTGCAGGATACATTGAGCAGAGATTCAATGATGACAAAAAAAATTTCTCAAACACATCACACATGAACAGTCTGTCCGAGTGAATGTATAGTGCGAGCAGAGAATCCATGTTGCTGAGGAGGTTGTGTTACAAATCTTCCACTTGACTGGTTTCTCCTGTGCGAATGCATTGGTGTGTGCTGAGTGTTGAAGAATTCAAAAATGATTTGTCACACATCTTGCACGTGAATGCTTTCTCCCCTGTGTGAATCCTCTGATGGAGCAGAAGGGTCGATGACCTTGAGAATGATTTGTTACACACGTTGCACGTGAATGGTTTCTCCCCTGTGTGAGTACGTTGGTGTCTGAGGAGATGGGATGAATGAAAGAATGACTTGTCACACACCTCACAGGTAAATCGCTTCTCACCTGTGTGAATCTGTCGGTGTCCACGGAGGGTTGATGATCTCGAGAATGATTTGTCGCACACCTTGCAAGTGAATGGTCTTTCGCCCGTGTGAACACTTTGGTGTGCTTGGAGGGTCGATGACCTTGAGAATGATTTGTTACACACCTCACATTTGAATGGTTTCTCCCCCGTGTGAATGCGTTGATGAACGTGGAGGTTCGATGACTCCGAGAAAGCTTTGCCACACACCTCACACTTGAAAGGTTTCTCTCCTGTGTGAATCCTCTGATGGACCAGGAGGTCCGATGAGGCTGAGAATGATTTGTCACACACCTCACAAGTGAATGGTTTCTCTCCTGTGTGAATGCGTTGGTGTTTACGGAGAGCAGCTGACCACGAGAATGATTTCTCACACACCTCACACCTGAATGGTTTCTCGCCTGTGTGAATTCGTTGGTGTCTGCGAAGATGGGATGAGTCAAAGAATGATTTGACACACAACTTACAGGTGAACGGTTTCTCCCCAGTGTGAATGCGTTGGTGTAAACGGAGAGTGGATGAATTGGAGAATGATTTGACACACACCTTGCACGTGAATGGTTTCTCCCCTGTATGAATGTATTGGTGCACAAGGAATGCTGATGACCGGGAGAATGATTTGTTACACATCTTACATTTGAATGGCTTCTGCCCAGTGTGAATACATCGATGATTCACAAGTATCGATGACTGTGTGAAGGCTCCACCACACACCTCACACTTGAAAGGTTTCCTTTCCATGAAGCTGACCTTGTGTTAACAGTCAGCCAACAGATGCATCTTGTGTGTTAGGACTTTATGAACCTATAGAACAGCCTCTCCCCTGTAGGAATGAGTCAGTGGTTCATGAGGCTCGATGAATGATTGAAGCTCTCACCACACTTGGAGACACTCACTTCTTCCCAGCCTCACCCTGACCGATCACCCACAGCTGAACTTTCAGAAAGGTTGGTTCTGACGGAAGACTCCACACCACTGACCAGTTTCAGATCTGATGATATGTCAAAGCTCCTCTGACCCAACCAATTTCCAGATGGTTTCACTACCCAACCTTCTCTGTGCTGAGCAATGGTGCAAAGGGACTGGATGTGCAGTTGTTCCGTGGATGATGTTCAGGATCTATCTGTGCTGTGTATCCTGAATGATAGTTATACGATGTAATCCTGTAAAACAGGAAAAGGAAACATGATTTCTTCCAACTCCTCCTCATCCTTTGCTGAAGGGCTGACTCCTCACTTTTTTTTATTGTTTCTACCTTCATAGGACATTGGCATCACTGGCTTGGCCAGCATTCTTTGCCCATGGCTAATTGCCCTTGAGAAATCTGTAATGACCTGTTTCCTTGACCCGCTGTACTCCATGTGGTATAGGTACACACTTTGCTGTTACTGTGACCCAGCAACGTTAAAGGAATGGCAATATAATTCCAAGGAAAGGATAGCATGAGACTTGAAGGGGAACTTGCTCATATATGTCTAATGCCCTCACCCTTCTATTGGTAGAGGTCACAGGTTTGGAAGGATCTGTTGAAGCAGACCAAGTGAGTTTCTGCAGCATATCTTGCAGATAGAGCGCACTGCTGCCACTCTGCACCAGTAGTGGATGGAATGAATGTTTAAGGTGGTGGAAAGGGTGCTCATCAAGCAGGTTGCTTTGTCCTAGATGGTGTTGAGCTTCTTGAATGTTGTTTGAATTGCACTCATCCAGGAAAATAGAGCATACTCTATCACACTCCTAACTTGTGCTTTCTAGACGATGAACAGGCATTTAGGAGATAGGAGATAAATTACTTGCCAAGGAATTCTTGGCCTTTGACCTGCTCTTGTAGCCACAGTATTTGTATGGCTAGTCCAGTTCAGTTTCTAGTCAGTGTTAAACCCTAGGATATGGATATTGGGAAATTTGGCTATGATGGTTGACACTGACACATTAAATAGTATGTGTGCAGATTTCAGGGGGTGTGGTCAGATTAAGAAATCAGGACCAAGTAGAGGGGAGCAATCAGGAGGAGGGGTGTGAGTGGAAGTAAACCCCCTCCCAGGTCCTCTTTATTGCTCCACACCCTGGCTTTTTCCCTTCTCATTTCCCATCCCGTGTCCCCTAGCCCCACCACTGAAGTCCAGTTCAAAATTGCGCTTTCCAGCACATGTGCAGTAATGCATTTACACATGATCTGACAAGTAAATAATGTGATAACGTCAGTGCTTGGAACTGTGTGTTTCCCAATGAACACACATGTAGTTGCCTATGGTTTACAGTGTCAGCAAACACTGCCAGGGATTTAGCTATGGTAATACCATTGAATGCCAAGTCAAAATAGTTATATTCTCTCTTGATGGAAATAGTCATTTCTCAACATTTGTGTGGGGTTTGGAGCAGGCAAACAAGGAGCTTGTGACAGGTAGTTGCCATCACCTTGAGGGAGATGCAGCCTGAGAAACTGAATACAGCTTAAGGTAGAATTCTGCACTGAACTGCCTCTCATAGTTGGCTCTTATTTTGGTATGGGGTATAAGCTGATTGGTGAGCACTGCTAAACTTTTCTACTATTGTAATTGTAATTGTGATAAATAGTTTTTAAACTTTTGGGATGGCTGGTCAGCTTGGCCAAGTAGAGTGCACATCCTATGGTACCTGTGAAGTCAGGGTCACATCTTGTGTTGCAGATGAATACATTTTCAGGAAGTGCCACGAACTGTACAAGTTTCAGCTCCAGGTTTTGGAACATGAGTGCTGCCTCAAATCACTGTTGTACATCCTCTAGGCAAAGGACTACATGCTTAGCACGTTCAGAAATGATCACAGCCCAGGTCCAAAGCATACAGGCAGCAAGGGAATGGGCAACTTCCAGGCAGTTTAAAGCAAGTGGGCAGCCAGTGCAGGAGTTCCCATTATATTGAGCTTGTGAATCGCTATTCCTTTTTAGAGACTGGTGAGGGTGATGCTTCCTCAGGAAAGTGCAGCCAGAGCCAAGTCAGTGGTGCTTCAGGGGGCTCAGTGTTCTGGGTTAGAGAAGAATGAAGAATAGAAAGGCAATAGTGACAGGGGATTCCACAGACAGAAGATCAGACAAGCATTTGTGCAACCATCAACATAACTCAAGACGGTATTTTTACCTCCTAGTGTCAAAGTAAAAGGATGTTACAGAGCATCTGTAGGATATTCTTCTGTGGGAGAGGGTAATCAGCTAGAAATCATGGTCCATACTGACACCAATGACTTCAGTAGGAATGGGGATGAGGTTCCGAAAGCAGATTACAGAGAGCTAGGTAGGAGATTGAAAGGCAAGACCTCTAAAGCAGTACTCTCAGGATTACTCTGTCTTACTTGCTAATCAGCACTGAAATCGGAGAATTGAGTGATTGAGCATACGGATGGAAAACCAGCATAGGAGGGAGGGCATCAGACTTCTGGAACATCGGGACTGGCTGTGGGAAAAGTGTGACGTGGGGAAAGTATGAGCTATACAAGCTGGACGGACGCCACTTGAAGAAGAATGGGAAAATATCCTTGCTATTCCTGTTGGGAAGGGGGATGGGAACCTGAAGGCAAATTCAGAGCAGGGAATTGGAGGCAGAAACTTCACAAGTGACTCTGAAAGATAGGAAACGGGTTAAAAGATATAAGCACAGACATTTGGCAGCATTAAACATTATACATATAAACACAGGGAGTAAAATGGATGAAGGCACAGATAGGCACATGGCAGCATGGTATGATTGCTATAACGGAAAGCAGGATTAAAGAGGGGTGACGATAGCAGCTTGACATCCTGGAAGTAGTGTTTTCAGGCAGGTAAAAAAGGGAATAAAAGTGGGGTGTTGCATTATTGGATAAAGAATTAATCACAGCTGTGAGAAGGGGTGATAGACATCAAATTAGGCCATATGAGTTGTGCTCATAAATGAAGGGGCATTCACACTGTAAGATGTGAACCATAGAGCCCCAAGCAGTGATATAGATAGATGGGAAAATACGTAGGTAAATATCTGAGTGCAAAAGCAATAGAGAATGTCTGTCAACTGCAAGATAATATTAATAGTTTGGTTAAGGGAGCAGAGAAGTGGCAAATGGAATTCAATCCAGTGAAGTGTGAGGTTATGCATTTGCCAGGGCAAGAAAGCAAGTAAACATGTAATAAATAGACGGTGTTGAGAAGGATAGAGGAAGTAAGAGATCTTTGACTGCATGTCCACAAATCCTTGAAGATACAGGACAGGTAGATAAGGTGGTAAAGAAGGCATATGGGATACTTTCCTTCATAAGGTGCTGAATACAAGAGCAGGAATGTAATGCTGGAATTACATAAAACACTGGTTAGGCCACAGCTGGAGTTTTGTGTACAGTTCTGACCACCACATTACAGGAAGGGCATAATTGTTCTAAGGAGAGTACAAATGACTTTTTAACAAGAATATTGCCAGAACTTGAAAATTGCAGCTAAGTAAGATTGTGTACACCAATGCTTCGAACAAAGAGTGAAGGGAGACTTAACTGAGGGGTATAAAATGATGAGGGGTTTGGATAGAGTGGACAGGGAAGATTTGAAAAGAAAGAAAACATCCAGTTCCCAGCACACACACACAGACAACTGAACATTCTCAGTCTACAGGATAATAACCACCTCCCAACACACACACAGAACTCAACAACAGGAAATCAGTGAGAATCCTCACACACTACGCACTTCCCAGATAATTACACCTCACCTCCTCATGGTCAGGAATAAGCCATCAACAAAACTCAGGCTGGAAATCAGAAGAGAAATGCTTCCAATAAACCCACTCAATATCCAATATCAATATCCAGCTCCAGTCAAACAGCTAAGCACAAAGAACCGAGTAAACAACTCATACAGTCATGCAGCACGGAAAAAGAACCTTCGCCCCAACTTGTCCGCGATGACCAGATGTCCCAATCTGACCTAATCCCATTTGCCAGCATTTGGCCATAACCCTCTAAACCCTTCCTATTTATATACCCTTCCAGCTGCCTTTTAAATTTTGTACCTGTTTCCACCACTTCCTCTGCAGCTCATTACATAAACTCACCGTCTCCTCTGTGAAAAAGTTACCTTTTAGATCCTTTTAAAATCTTTCCCCTTTCACCTTAAACCGATGCCTTCGAGTTTTGGACTCTCCCACCCTCGGAAAAAGACCGTGGCTATTCACCCTATCCGTGCCCCTCATGCTTTTATAAACCTCTGTAAGGTCACCCCTCAACCTCCAACGCTACAGGAAAAATAGCCCCAGCCTATTCTGCCTCTCCCAATAGCTCAAATTCTCCAGTTCCGGCAACATCTTTGTAAATCATTTCTCCACCCTCTCAACTTTGACATCTTTCCTATAGAAGAGAGACCAGAATTATATTGGATCTTCTCACACAGCATAAGGGACATTTCCACCCCTGATTACCCACAGGATAGTCAGACTGCCTGTAGATTGGTGTGGATATTATGGGATACAATTTGTATAAAAGCTGCTCCTTCACTCACCATCTCCTCACTTGGTTTTCAGTCCCTATAGGAAGTGAA